TCTCCCCCCCAAACAAGCCACTCATGGCTCTGTCCTGCTCTCCACTGGGGCCCCAAACCCCCAGCCCCAAACCCCGCCCAGCTCGGTAGGTAGGGCTGTGCGAAGATTGCCTTGCAGCTCAGTTGAAACAGATTCGGAGGAGATTTGGCTGAAACAGAACAGGACAGTGATCCAAAACACAGAAACAAATCACTGTCCTCCAAAATGGCTGAATCTGAAACTGAATCAAAACACAATCATTTTTCACAGCCCTAAAGACCAAGTAACTAAAAAAAGACCAACTCATAATTTAGTCTCTTTTCCTTAAATTACATTATACAGTGCAGGTATATGTTAGATATACCCTGATTTAAAAGATCTTTTCTTTTTTTCCCTTTTTTTAAGGAACGTTTCAACTGCCAGGTAAGAAAATTAAACTATGAAACTTCTTGAATTATTATTCATTATTTTTGTTGCTGCTGCTTACATTGTTGTGTTTTCTAGCAATCGTAGATTTGTTCTGTGTGGTACTCACGTCAAAGCTATGAATATGGATGAATCTGCAAATGGAAGTCTGTCTGTAGAATTTCGACATTTGGTAAGTTTGCCAGTACTTACCAACTTTATTTATGCAATTTTACTCAAATCTCATCAGTTAATTGCCTTGTAAAAACAAAACTAAAAAATATTTTGCTGAATGGATTTACCTAGAAGCATAGTCAGAGCCTGTTTCAAGCATTAGGTATAGGTATTATGTGTATCATACACAAAGCCAATACCCAAATACAAACTGACTCAAAGCAAATTCTGGTTTTATTACCCATTTACTATAATGTAATTATTTGCTGTTTTGAGACAGAACAGCTGGCTTGAAGAAATATATTAATTTTCAAGGGATGTACACCACAAATAAATTATCACTATTCATATATACTAATGAAACCACTGTCACAAATATCACTAGTAAATACTTCTCTCTTCTAATTCCCTGAATATAAATCTTGTATTCTTTTCTTCAGCAACCCAAAGAAATGAAATCAAGTGCTGGAAGCAAAGGAAATGAGGTTAGTAAGAGGGTTTTTGTTTGTTTTATTTTCCATAGGATTTCTTTTGATGATTCAAAGTATTTTAGAATAAAATTTACTTGGTCTAAGCATCATATGGTAGCTATCAGTAAGTCTGTTAGCTTCCTAAATAATTAAGGATTTTATAAAATGAACAATAAGCATTGATAATATGATAGGATAAATTATTTTTTTCAGAAATAAACATTTCTTACAAGTGATAATTAAAACCCTCAATTATGTACAACTACATTGTTATGTTAGAAAGTAGGAAATAGTAATCCAAATGAATAATTGGATATGTTCTACCAGAAGGAGACATGCCTTGAATGTCCTGAGTCCAACATTTACTTTTTTTTAAAAAAAAGCTGTTAAGGTTCCTAATAAAACTAGAAACAAGAGAAATTATTCCACAAATCTTTTTGGTTCTTGCAGAAACTGTTCTTTTATAAGTATTCTCTAGGTGAAAATTCACAAATGGAGCAGGGGTACAATTGTGTAAAGTCAGTGGAGTTGTGTCTGGCTCAGCTAGAATTGATCTAGGTCTTAAAATGTTTATCTGAAGCTGGTTTTAGTGCTCCCTCTTGTGGTTAGATTAAATTGTGACAATTACAATCTATAGAATAGCAAACATTTAACAATATGGTATACCTTCTGACGCTTGGGGGGAGTGTACATACTTCTTGACACATGCACGTGTGCATGATTTACAACATTGGAATGACTCCTTTCTAACAGTATCTTTTTTTTTTAAATATATTGTAGCAAACACTGTATTATTTCAACTATGCTAATATGTATTATAAAATCTATACCAGCATGTTTAAGTGGTAACAACTTCCTAGCATGGGTGCAATTATACAAATACGCTGGTAAAATGCTTAGACTATCTAACACATTCCTATCAAGGAAAGGGAATGAGATCTCTCAATATCAGCTACATGTATACTAATATAAATGCATTCACATAAAGTGGTCGTATGAGTAAAACTGTACCGGTAAAAATTAAGGAAGGGAAATCATATTATGACAGACATAATCATGACAATACAAAAAAATGTATAGAAACCAGGCTCTGGTAACAGTGTTTAGGTACACAATGAAGTGATTAATATGGATAGTTTCAGGGAAATTCAAACCAAATAAGAGATATTTTGTACAGACTGGTGCTGAATTTGTGAATGGAATAATTCACATTTTGATTAGTAAGACTAAAACTCAGGGCCCAGTTCTCTGTTACTTTGCATCTTACAAAGTAATTTGCACTAGTCTGAAGTGGATACAGAGAGTTGGGTATAAAATGGTACTTCTCTACTTTAGTAGTCTTTTACACTTGCTTTATACACTTTTTGCACAGGTTACAATGTAAGATAAAGTGCAATGGAGAATCCGTCCTTCATAATTGTAACATTATTTTTGCTAACTGTTTCTCATGTGCTATTACATGAGTTAAAGAACAGTTTATACAATCATAATTAGCACTAAAAGTTACTATTTGAAAAATACCTACAGCAAAAGCTCTGTTATCCAGCACCCATGTGAAATGGGGGGTGCTGAATAACCAAATATGCTGGTTACCTGAGAGGCATCTTTACCTGGTTGGGCCGCCGCGTCCGGTGCACCAGGCTTTCACTCCCTGGCGTCAGTATGCCAGGGGACAGGGAGGGGGACCCCACACAGGCTGCTTTGCCCCAGGCCATGGCCCACAGTCGGTGAAGTGGGGACTCGGCAAACCTTGCCATGTCGACCAGCATGCCGGTTAGCAGAGCATGCCAGTTAATAAAGTGCCAGATAACATGGCTTTTACTGTATAAGAAAATAGAATTTTGATTTGTTTCAGGAGACTGTTCATCTTAAAATAAAAGCATTTAATAAACCTAAAATATGATAACAAATACTAATCTTTCTACTAAACATTCTTCTCAGTCTACTTGCATATAGAGTTAGTCAAGCATTTTTGTCTCACATATTATTGTTAAAATTAGAGGTGCACCGATACATCAGTCCAATATCGGATCGGCTCCAATATAAAGAAAATTGACTGTATTGGAAATCAGCCTGATGTGGCCGATAATATGGCTGATAAATGCCCCATGCATGTGTGCAGCTGCAGCACAGCATGTAGGAAGTGAGAAGCACAGCTTGGCAGCATGGAGAGCTTCATACAGTTGGTTAGTCTGTTGTGGAAGGGCAGGGGGGGCGGGAAGGGACATGAGGGGGCCGATCAAGGCCCCTGTGGTGAGGGAAAGAGTGG